AAAAAAATCATTGTGTCAGAAGTCTCCTTTCAAAAATACCAGTTGGAAGAATGGGTGAATTCAAGGAGGGTACTTCATTTACTATAGCACTTCAACCGTGAAAATGGAAAGACATTTCTTGATTCCGATATGAACATATCATCTCAGGTATATCAAAAAGTCTCTCAGGAAGAAGGAGGCTCCATGAAATGGAATAGTGAAGTCGCAAAAACGCGCTATCGGAAATTTGCTACTAGCGTTACATACGCATTGATTCTAGAATCGTAGAAATGGGAATTTGGAATGAACACATTTAATTTTAGAAGAGGGTATGATTAGTCTCCAATCATGGAAGGCAAAACCTTCTAGGATGACCAATTTCCTAACGGCGCCTTCATGAAAAACATCAAAATACAGAATCTCAGGGACCGTGATCAAACTCAGCGATGGAATCGAATTAGACTACTTTAATGACCGCACCGAGCTAACCATCTTCTGCAATAAAACCGGTTACAACTCCAACTATTTGAGGACAGTTATCAAAGGCGTGTAGGATAGACTGACTTAATAAGCACTAAACTGTTCCTGTATATCCTACATTGCTTAGGACAAACAATATAGGAATGCCAGAATTGTATTTTGAGATCCAATATTCCCAAACGATCAGAATTACTACGCCATCTTGTTACTTTACTCGCTGGTAGTATTTTCTACTAAAAGTATTGAGTAATTTCAGATTGCACAATGGAAAGATGACAGTATAGGTATAGGTTGTAGCCTAATTTGAGAAATTCATGTAACTTCAAGACATGATATGCAGAAAACGGATGACTCGGGCAATGAATTTTAATGAGGACCTTCTATGGGACCACACAAGTACTTCTTGAACGACTACAAAGTTTAGAATTTCAATTAGGGTTTCGAAGCTGCACCTCAGAGGTCTCAGCAGCCAGTACTGAGTAAGCTCTCCAAAAAGGTTTCCAAACCAGACTTTGGGCAAAGAAAAGGGGCCAAGTAGTGGACGGTGGACCTCACTATTGCAGCGTCGCTTTCTGTGAAATGAGGATCAGCCGACCG